GTGTGTGTGTGTGTGTGTGTGTGTGTGTGTGTGTGTGGCTGCTTTGTTCAACACCCCTCTCTGCTTTCAGTGACCCAGAAACTCACAGTGAGCTGCTTCTCTTGCAATGAATAAATAGTCTGTGGAACTAAATAGGCTTTAAAAGGAGCCTTAAACAAATGTCATAAAACTTAGAACTATGTGAAAGCCACTGGGTGGTAATTAAATTATAAAAGTATAAATGAAAGCCTGTGGAAAAAGAATGTATAGAATATCTTTCAATTCCACTGTTTTACAAATCATATGAGCTCATTTTAAACTAAGCAAAATAACAAAAACTAAATTAAAATGCACAAGAAAACAGTAATAATATGGAGTAGAGCCCATAAGTTATTAAACTGTAGAAGCTTTTTAGCATCAGTAACAAAGTAGCACGATTATCACCCTCCAGTGAAGTTGAGTTCACTTTGAAGTGTAGTGTTATCAAAATATCTCTTGAACGTCTTGTTTTGGCTGTTCCCTCTTCAGCGTTCTCCACGAGTCCTCCCTCTCACTACCTCCATGTCAATGCCAATTTACACAGCACATAAAACAACAGAGGCTGACCAAAGTGCTTCACAATTCAGCCAAATGACCAGACTAAAAAAAACAGAACACACAGACATGTTCAAAATTAATTCAAATTAGTTTAAAATACAAAAATACAACATGAAACCATCAGCTCAGAATCAGAATCAGAAGCCAAGGATTAAAATGGGTCTTGAGCATAGATTTAAAAATCACAACAGTCTGAGGCCAAATGACAGAGACAGTCAAAAGAAATATAGTTACCAAATGAGTTCCAGTCTTACTTTCATTTAGATTCAGGAAATTCAATTTCAACCAGATTTTTATGTTGTTCAGACAGCTCAAGAGTAGCTGAAGTGAACTGACCATGTCTGGCTTAATGGGCAGATAAACCTAAATGTCATCAGCAAAACAATGGAAAGAAATCTTTTATTTTCTAAAAACTGGATCCCAGGGGCAACATGGAAAGATTAAAAAGCAGAGGACCTCAAATAGAGCCTTGAGGGACCCCACAAGTCAAAGGAGCTATAGAAGAGGAGTGTTTGTCAGGTAAGATCTGAACCAGGATAAAACTGTGACTGTGATACCAACCACCGGCTCCAGTCGAAGATGTTATAGTCCACATGTCCTCTCTAACTGTATATATCTCCGTTTTGTCTTTTTCCTGGGAGCTGCATCTCTAACATCCATTTCTGTCCCTCCCTCGTGTCCAAACCATCTCTGGTCTCTCTAACTTGATCTCCCAGTCCTTCAAACTGTATTGTACCTCTGATTATCTCATTCCTAATCTGATCCATCCTTGTCACTCCCAATGAGAACCTCAACATCTTCAGCTCTGACGCTTCCAGCTCTGTCTGCTGTCTTTTAATCCATGTCTCTGTCTCCAAATCATACAACTCAGCTGGTCTCACTACTCTCTTGTAAACCTTTCTTCTGACTTTGCTGACACCTCCTGAAACTTTTCTCCTGCCTGGATTCTCTTCTTCACTTCTTTACTACTCTCAGTTTTCCAGGACAGATGACTTGAAGTCCTTGAATTCCTTTACCTTTGTGTCCTTGCAGCCTCACTGCTCCACCTGCCTCCATCTCATTCCAATACATGAACTCCTGTCTCGCTATAACTGGTTTTCATTTCTTTCCATTCAAGTGCATATCTTCACCTCTCCAAGTTCTCTTCCACATGCTCCCTGTTCTCACCATAGAACATCGTCATCTGTAAACATCATCTAACTTCATCTGTTTGTCCATCACCAGAGCAAGCATGAACGGGCTCAGATTGGGGGCTCAGGGACAGTCCCGCCTCCAACCTAAAGCTATCCATCACTGGCCTGAAACCATACTGCTGCTCACAGGATATCTTCAAATATCTCTTGAGCCATCACTGGATATCCACCTTGAACGCAATAGCTTTTAGGAGTTGATTGAATTCAAGATGGCTACCACCAACAATCAACATTAGCGAACACAAAAATGGCTCCAGCTGAATCAGTTTTACAGATATGGATTTGCAACATTAGGTGAGGTCAGGCATTATGTAGTTGTTTTACAGTTTGACCAAAACTCTGTCATTGCTCTGTTGACTCAGTCAAGCTTCATATGAACAAATATTCTCATATATTAACTAAACAGCTGCACATTGTCCAGAATAAAGTTCAAACCATTATCTCTCCACCACCGTGCTTGACTGGTAGCATGAAGGTATTGAGCTGATGTATATTGTGTCTGGTTTTTCTCCAGCTGTGGAGCTGAGTGTCTCTTCTGTTTAAGGAACATTCTCTGAAGGCTGGAGTTTTGTTGCAGATATCTTTACAAAAACCAAAAATAGTTTCAGGACAACTTCTGAAATTCTAAATACAGTAATTTAGTCATTTTAATAACTCAGTAACTGCTATATAAGATAAGATAAGATAAGATAAGATAAGATAAGATAAGATAAGATAAGATAAGATAAGATAAGATAAGATAAGATAAGATAAG